TAAGGCCAAGGTTTATTCAGGTACAAGCTCTCCCTTCTCTGCCAGGACAGATCTGCACGTCCCCCTCCCCCCAATAGCTAGCAATCCAAAACAGTCCAGTGGCGCCTTTAAGGCCAAGGTTTATTCAGGTACAAGCTCTCCCTCCTCTGCCAGGACAGACCTGCACGTCCCCCTCCCCCCAATAGCTAGCACTCCAAAACAGTCCAGTGGCACCTTTAAGGCCAAGGTTTATTCAGGTATAAGCTCTCCCTCCTCTGCCAGGACAGATCTGCACGTCCCCCTCCCCCCAATAGCTAGCAATCCAAAACAGTCCAGTGGCACCTTTAAGGCCAAGGTTTATTCAGGTGCAAGCTCTCCCTCCTCTGTGAGGACAGATGTGTGTCCCCCACCCCCAACAGCTAGCAATCCAAAACAGTCCAGTGGAGCCTGAGCAATGGGTGTGGCCTTCTGACACACTTCCGGTGATGTCAGGGGGTGTGGCATATGCAAATGAGCTATGCTAATTTATGCTAATGAGCTCCTGCACCTCCTTTTCTACAAAATGACCCCTGGAGGTAGTTATGAATTTCCGGCGATGTACAGGGGGTTGGGATGGATGACCCCGGAGGTGCCTTCAACTCTATGATTCTACAGTCGGGGAATTACAGGAAAAGGCCGCCTACGGAGATCTCAGGTCCTGAATAAAAGCCAACGGACAAAAAGGAGGGGGGGGGGCGTGGAGAAAAGGCGGAGAGGAGAAATCCTTTCCCGCGAGCCTGCGCAACGGACGCACGCATCTGGAACCCTAACACGGGCCCGGTACCGGAGAACAAGTGGCCGCCTGTTAACAGTCCACGGCTATCGTGCACAGGGGTCCGCTGAAAACTACAGCAAGGGAGCAGGACGCCGGGGATCTGAAAGTTTACTTCACCTCTTCACTCCTCTTCGGAATTCAAAAAGCTTCTGCCCCTCTGGAATGGAAAACACGCGGATCACCGTCCCCTGGTGGAATAAACAGGAGTGAGGGGAGATCGCAGGGTTTGGTGGGAAACGGCCGCCGGGGAGCTCTCGTTATCCTGTACGGAGTCACGGGAGCGGCTGTGGCGTGCCGTCTTATCTGGGAGCTCCCGGCAGGACTGTGGCCCACTAGAAGCGTCAGAGCCCAAAGACGTCCGGAGGGCGAGCTAACTTGGGAGGGATCTTGCCCATCCTCGCTGCCTTCAGCATTGTGAAACAAAGCCTCACAATTAAGAAGAAGAAGAGTTTGGATTTATACCCCGACCTTCACTACCCACAGGAGTCTCAGAGCGTCTTACAGTCTCCTTTTCCCTTCCCCTCCCCGCAACAGGCACCCGGTGAGGTAGGCGGGGCTGAGAGAGCTCTGGCAGAAACTGCTCTTTCAGGGACAGCTGTGCCAGAGCTTGTGACTAACCCAAGGTCACATCAGCAGGTGCAAGCGGAGGAGGAGTGGGGAATCAAACCCGGTTCTCCCAGATTAGAGTCCGCGCACGTAACCACTACACCAAACTGGCTCATCTGTCTGCTGCTCTGAGACTCCAAGTGAAGCCAGTTTGGTGTCACAGGGTGTCTGTTGTGGGGAGGGGAAGGGAAAGGAGTTTGTCAGCCGCTCTGAGACTCCAAGTGAAGGGCGGGGTATAAATCCAATCTCTTCTTCTTCTTCCTCCTCTTCCCCGATTTCTCCCTGTGACATGTACAATTCGGGATGCCTTTTTAAAAACAAACAAACAGATGCACAGCATGCGCCAACCAGCCCAAACAGTATCGCAGCCGGAAGCACAAATGTTACACTAAGTTTCTAACCCCCCCCCCCCCAAAAAAAAAACCCAGGTTAAAATACAATAAAACGAAATACATACATGTAATACTATAAAATTCACGTATCAACGATATACATACAAAGTGCAATTAAGAGAAGAGAAGAGAGAAGAGATTGGATTTATATCCCGCCCTTCACTTGGAGTCTCAGAGCGGCTGACAAACTCCTTTCCCTTCCCCTCCCCACAACAGACACCCTGTGAGGTGGGTGGGGCTGAGAGAGCTCTGACACAAAGTGCTCTTTTTCAAGGACAGCTGTGCCAGAGCTTGTGACTGACCCAAGGTCACATCAGCAGGTGCAAGTGGAGGAGTGGGGAATCAAACCCGGGTCTCCCAGATTAGAGTCCGCACACTTAACCACTACACCAAAGTGCAGATGGCGATTGCTGTACGGTGGTCCAATATAGCTAAACCAGTATCCGTGGTTGTTCTTAGTGCCAGTAGCATAAGGGCCGTAGCAGCTCAGTTTTTAATAGCTCATTCCTCACTGGCGGTTCCTAATCGAAGGCCTGGTGGAAGAGCTCCGTTTTACAGGCCCTGTGGAACTGTGAAAGGTCCCGCAGGGTCCTTAGGTCTTCCGGGAGCTCGTTTCACCCATGTGGAGCCACCACTGAGAAGGCCCTGGCTCTGGTAGGAGCCAATCTGGCGTCTTTCGGACTTATCTTTCTCCGTAAATAAATGAAAAGAAGACTCGCTTGGTTCAGACGGAATTATAAACCCTGGTATTGGGCCCCATGCAAACAACTGCAGAAGGAGTCTGAGACTTGCTAGGGTGACCTCTCCGCCCAGTTTATAAGGAACTGCTTGGTTCGCAGCAAGCCTTGCGGCCGAGCTGGCAAACTGTAATTCGCGCTTCCCTGCAGGACTGCAAACCGCAGTTCGACAAGCACAAATCATAATTTTTTGGTTCCGACGCAGTGGCAAACTGGGGGGAGGGGGGCAATAAGCCAGGGACTCACTCGCTGCTTTCCAGAACATGAGAAGAAGGGGATTGCCGGGAGCGCCTTCCAGAACAGATCCCTCTGGGCATTTCCCCTTCTCTCCCATAAACTGTTGCACACAATCTTTGCTGTGCTTCCGTAGAGGCGCGACCAAATCAGAACCGTACCTTTTCGGATGCCGTGGCCAGCTTGGTGCCGCTCGCGTCGAAGGCTAACGCGGCCAGAGGACTGTCGTGGGCGGGGATCATGTTGGCGGCTCTCTGGGAGGAAGGAAAGGGGAGAGGAGAGGTGACCGTGAATGCAGACATTAGCCCAGCCCGGTCAGCCGGCCCGTGGCCGGATCCACAGGGGCAGGGGAGCTGCTTGCGGAGACCGAGTTCCCGGGGAAGCTCACCAGGTTGATGGTGTCGAAGACCTGCACTTCTCCAATGGTTGCGCTCCCCGGGTAGGCCAGATAGCAGTTGTCGTTGTTTATCGACAATGCGCATAAGCCTAGGAGAGGAGGGAAAGGCGGGTCAGCGTCTCTGGCCACGGCACACTCCGCACCGCGAGACGGAAAAAGCGGCCAGCCTCCAGGGCTGTGATGAACAGCTTGGAAGCAAATACAAGAATACACATGCCATGACGTTACTGTTTTAGCTAAATGAAACTATTCAAATTGTTATTATTAAGGTAATGATTATCTTTCTCCTTCCAATAAGGTACAGCAGAAAAGTTGACCAAATATGAATGATTAACCCGTTAAACTGGAGATAGCTCACCTTGTAATAATTTCATAATTAGTTGCTGTAGATTTTCCGGGGTTGTGTGGCCGTGGTCTTGGCATTGTAGGACCTGACGTTTCGCCAGTATCGGTGACTGGCATCCTCAGAGGTATAACACAGAAAGAAGGAGTACTCCCTGCACAAAGAGTACCCCTTCTTTCTGTGTTATACCTCTGAGGATGCCAGTCACCGATACTGGCGAAACGTCAGGTCCTACAATGCCAAGACCACGGCCACACAACCCCGGAAAATCTACAGCAACTAATGAACTCCAGCCGTGAAAGGGTGTGTTCAGACGAGCAGCTAATCCCGTCATTAGCCCAGCTCTAATTTCATCCTGACTTTTTAAATCCATCGTTGCACGACCAGACAGCCCCCCATGAATCGTCTTACTGTGCGTTGTCTCCGCTGTGGATTGTCCAGATGGCGTCCACTGAAGGAGGCATGTGCGGCGTTTTGTTTTTGTTTGTTTTTTTAAAAGAAAGTTTGCACAAGCGCATAGGTGTGACATCGTGTCCTTGTTTCTCCACGCATGCGCGCAATCGAGATTTTAAAAAATGGCGCCTGTTTTAATTGCGCACTGTAACAATCAGAAGGGGGAAAGTCCATGAATGGCCCATCGGGAACCAAAAACTCCAGTTTTAAAGTACTACCTTTTTAATGCGGCTCTGAAGCGCGGCAAAACGGGATGCTCACGGATGAGGTACGTTTCCCAGATGTTGCTGTCTGGAAATTACATTTAAATCCGCCAGGCACTCGTGCACGGCGCAGATCTAAAGAGCCGTCTGAACAGACTTAAAGCCTTCGGCAACATATTAATTTCATAATTATCGGTCTATGATGTGTTTCTAGTAGTATAATCAAATCAGTAATTCTTTGATAGAACTGTAAATCCAATCTGCAGAGCTGTTATTCCAGAAATGAAACCTTCATCTGGTTGTAACTATTAAGATTATTCCAGCAAGGAGGATTCTTTCTGTAGAAAACCACGGTTTAAATCCAGTCTGACTGACTAGTGATTTAAATCGTGAATTAAAGCAAATCCGCCCTGCTTGGAATTCTTCCCGCTCTCCAAGAAAAGGAAAACACCCAACAGGTTAGTGCTTTCTGGACAAAAATATTACAAATTATAAAAAGAATATGTAAAGTTTCACTGACCATTAACTCCAATTTAATGCTAATGGGTATAAGAGGAGACCCAGCAGTAAGTAAAGAGAACCAAGCTATGTTTAAAGTCATGATAATAGCAAGCAAAGCAGTGATCGCTCTAGGCTGGGAGGACAAGAGTAAGTGGACTGTAGAAACACCTGAAATAATTGTTTGATTTCATGCAGTAGGAGACAATTGAGAAATTGAATCGGAAGACCACATGGGAAGACAAGACCACAGGGATTAGGACGAAATGGAAGACCTACTTGGAATTCACTGCCACGGGAAGTGGTGGCGGCTACAAGCACGGACGGCTTCAAAAGGGAATTAGATAAGCATATGGAGCAGAGGTCCATCAGTGGCTCTTAGCCACAAGGTTTAGATAGGGACTCTGGGGCAAGTGATGCTCTGTCATCTTGGTGCTTGGGGGGGGGGGGTCAAAGGGGGGGGGGCTTTTAATTTCC